TGCAAAAAACGGTGCTTTGCAAACAACGGTGGCGATGTGAACGTCCCTCCACTGAAGGAATTCACAAAAGCAGTGCAAGAGGCCATCATAGCATCAAAAAATTACAGTTCTAGCACTCTCTCTAGCAGAGAAAGTGCTGGAAGACCACACCATGTGCCACAGGATACCTGTCTTTGTTTCTCTCTCTTTTGTTTTTAGATGGAGTCTTTCTCTCTTTTTTTTTGAGATGGAGTCTTTTTTCTTTCTTTCTTTCTTTCTTTCTTTCTCTTTCTCTCTTTCCTTTCTCTCTTTTTTTTGAGATGGAGTCTTTCTTCTTTCTTTCTTTCTCTTTCTCTATTTCCTTTCTTTCTCTCTCTCCTTTTTGAGATGAAGTTTCTTTCCCTTCCTTCCTTCCTTCCTTCCTTCCTTCCTTCCTTTCTTTTTTGAGACAGAGTCTTGCTCTGTCGCTCAGGCTGGAGTTCAGTGGCGCGATCTCGGCTCACTGCAACCTCTGCCTCCCAGGTTCAAGAGATTGTCCTGTCTCAGCCTCAGTAGCTGGGATTACAGGCACCCACCACCACGCCCAGCTAATTTTTGTATTTTTAGTAGAGATGAGGTTTCCCCACGTTGCCCAGGCTAGTCTCAAACTCCAGAGCTCCGGTGATCTGCCCACCTTAGCCTCCCAAAGTGCTGGAATTACAGGCATGAGCCACCACGCCCAGCCCCTGTATTAGTTTCTTTTTGCTGTACAGCAAATGATCCCAGGCTTAGGTGCTTAAAATCATACACATTTCTCACTCTTTGTTTCCATGGGTCAAAAGTCTGCATGTGACCAGCTAGGTCCTCTGACTGGGGCCTCACAAGGCTGAAGTCAAGGTGCTGCTGGGCCAGGTGCTCATCTGAAGGTCAAGGTCACCTTCCAAGCTTACTGGCTGTTGGCAGCATTCAGTTCCTCGTGCTTGTGGGACTGAGGCCCCTGTTTCCTGCTGCTGCCCGCTGGGACCTGCTCTCAGTTACTGGAGGCCCCTCTGCTCCCTCTCATGTGGCTCCCCGCAAAGCACGGCGGTTTGCTCCCTCAAGGCCAACAGGAGCACATCTCTGCAGCCTCGACTCTCTCTGACTTTCCCTATCTTGTATCCAGTTCCACCCAAGATAACCTTCCCTTTGACTAGCTCAAAGTGGACTGATTAGGGATCTTAATTCCACTGAAGAATCCCTTCATCTTTACAAGAGAATGTAACCTGATCAAGGGAGGGACATCAGGCTCTGTTCCCATCGAGGACAGGGGATTGCAATGGAGCCCCCCAGCATGGGGTGGGAATGTTGTGAGCCCTATCAGAACTGTGTCTCCTGAAGTCCTGGAGACAGAAGCGGCTCAGGAACGAGGGGAGCACTGTAGCGCTGAGTCTGGTGGATGAGGTGGAAGATGTTCCAGGGGGATGAGACAGCAATGCTGAGAAAGGAAGGAAATCTGGATGAATATGTAGAGGTTGGCCAGATTATGAGAGACTGTGATGACCAGTTGGAGAAGTTTGTATTTCATGCTATAAAAAGCAACCAAATCTAGTTAATATACCCTAAGTTGGGTAATAGGATCAGATTCTTTACAGTAAAGCTTACAAAAGTAAAATTATTTTATAATTGTATTATAGCAAACAACAGGGTTTAAAAATGGTCCCTTAAAAATGAGCCTTAAAAATGAGCAGCCACTTAATACTCATTTGGGTCCAAAAGCCACAAAGCTATTGACATTTTCTTTATGCTGAGGAAGTCTTGGTGGTATCGATTCTCATACAGCAGAGATCAAGACGAACATCTTGTACCTCCTCTTCCCCACCTGCCTCTGAAGCAAACCCTGATCTGATGACATTGTCATGAGGCCTGCTCGCCCTCAGCAGCTTCCTAGTGTGCCCTGGGTGTGGGCATCCAGTGCCAATAAATGGAGGAAAACGGGCAGACTGGGAGGGGTGGGAGCAGGCAGGAGGAAAGGAAGTGGGGAGGGAGGGAGGGAGGCGGAGAAAGTCAGCGTAAGGGAAAAGTGGGACACCCGGTCACACCAGGGTTCAGGGAGTGGCAAGAGGTTCCGAGCCCTGCCCGCTACTGACCCAAGGCTCACACGGCCTCACCAGCCTCGCATCAGTCACAGTTCCCAGTCCTCAGGAATAACAACAACTAAAAGAGTTAATTTTTAAAATTTTTGCCATTATAATTTATACGGAATTCTGAACAATGGAAAATCAGAGCCCAAACAGGTGATAAAGAGGTTCATTAAGAGCCTTGCGAACCTGAGAGCACATCCAGAATCGCCCTCACACTTACATCTGTGAAAGACACAAGCTCCGACCAGTGTCCCGCAGACACTCCCACATCCCCCATCACACAATGAGCAGGCCTGCTCCTCTGCTTCCCATCACTTCACCCGTCCTGTTCAGCAGATGCTCCCCTTGAAGAGCTGGAAAATATGGGTGTTCAGGAAAGGCCTTGAAGATAGAAATGAATGCAAATGCTGTTGTTATTAATAATATTTCAAAGTGGGCACAGGGAACTTGATGACATTTTAATTTAATTTGATTTGATTAGTCGGGGGCAAAAGACTTTTTATTTTTATCTTCAAAGGCTGCAGGCACGTCAGGTACACAGACTGCAGCACGGTGTGCTCAGCGTGTTGGGCTCTGGCTGACGACGTGTGCCCAAAACCTTTCTCACGGCTTCTGAAAGTAGACTGAAGGGAGTGGAGCACCGTAGCCTCTGGTTGCAGAGACTCTCCAGGCATTTTCTTTTCATGTGAGATGTCACACTAACCCAAGCACGATAATTTAGCTTCCTGCTAAGCTAGTCCACAGACTGATCGTTTCTATCCAAAATTGGCAAGCCTCCCTTCCGTTATATTTCAGATTGAAGAACAGGAGAAAATTTTCAGAAAATGGTTTACAGTGGAAAGGTACTGGTTTAAACTCAACCTACCAGCTGTTTGAAACAAGTTCGTTTAGTTAAAGTGAAATTCTCTATGTAAAATATCATTTTAAGAAATCTTCATCATGCGTTTTGCTGTTTTAAAGTTTTGTATTTAGTAAAATGCAGAAAGTCTAATCCTTCTGAAGACTCCCTTATTACATCTCCTCACACACCCACTTGTACTCACACCCCCAATCCAAAGGTTCGTGGGGATACTTTGTTATGTAATTTTGTTGTCAATGTGATTCATAGGTTTTTGGTTTTGCTGTCTAGTTGCTCTGTTTTAATTTTGGGATTTAGAAAGATTAAACGCTATGCCACCACCACCTTTCACTTTGAACATTTTGAAGACAAATATTTCCTACTTGTGACTAACATACCCAGCCAAATTATCCATCACTATAAGATCAGAAAAATATTTTAACTGTTGATGTTTCATGCACCCTTTCCCAGGAAGCTACTACAGAATACATTCCACTAAATTAAACAGATAAATCAAGGAGGAAGGCATCATGGAATGCAGAAAATAAGGGCTTATGAGAGAGGTAGAGGGAATTCCTGGCACCTGTGAAGTGCAGCCTGAGTATAGAAGTATGCAGCAAGTTTAGAAAGTCACCATCAGATTGGGGCAGGATGCCAAAGGGTGACAGGAGGGATGTCTCCAGAAAAAAATATATATATAGAATGGCACTGACAAATATGAGTGTATGGCTGTGAACTAGTAGAAAGTATACAGAAAGCTAAGGAAATGAGGCTGGGCACAGTGGCTCATGCCTGTAATCCCAGCACTTTGGGAGGCTGAGGCAGGAGGATCACTTGAGGTCAGGAGTTCGAGACCAACCCGGCCAACATGGTGAAACCCTGTCTCTACAAAAAATACAAAAATTAGCTGGGCATGGTGGTGGGCCCTTGTAATCCCAGCTACTCAGGAGGCTGAGGCAGGAGAATCACTTGAACCAGGGAGGCAGAGGTTGCAGTGAGCTGAGATGGCGCCACTGCACTCCAGCCTGGGCAACAAAGCGAGACTCTGTCTCAAAAAAGAAAGCTAAGAAAACGAAAGAGGGAGGCGATGATTATCTTCAAGGAAAAAAGGTCGTATAAGAAAGAAGATGCAGTGAAAATGCATGAACACAGTGGCGGCATGTACCATGTAGCACATGCACTGACATGCAGTCATGTAATCTTGTTACCATCACAGGCAGGGATTGAATGGAGACCCGTGTAGCCTCTGTGGGGACACACGCAGTAGAGAGAGTTAGAGGTAGGAGCACGAATGAGCTAAATATTTATCTTCCCATGTAACTGGTGCTGTTGACATTTTCAAAATTATGCTATAAGCATATGATTTGGAAATATGGACACAATAAAGGTAGAGGAGCAAAGAGCTATGAGTGATTCTCTGCAGGGGATTCCGGAGTGGGCGATGGCAAGGACATCGGGTTATTCTTACGGCTGGGTAGCGCTATTTTCTTTTAAAACTATGCAAATGTGGCCGGCCACGTGGCTCATGCCTGTAATCCCAGCACTTTGAGAGGCCAAGGCGTGTGGATCACCTGAGGTCAGGAGTTCGAGACCAGCCTGAC